ATTACAATCAACATCGATATCACAACCATCACCATAAACATCATCACCATCACAGTTACCACTATCATCATCCCATCACCATCACTACCATCGTCACGACCATCAACATCTTCATAACCTCATCATCACCACCATCATCAACACCATCACCATCATACCACCACCATTACTAGCATCATCAACATCATCACCATCAATTTCATCAACATGACCATCACTAGCACCATAACCACCCTAACACCACCACCATTGCTAGCATGGGTGTCATCACCATTACCATCAACATCAACACCATCATCATCACCACCATCATCAACATCATTACCATCATCATCATCACCACTATCATGGGCCCGCATCATTACCATCATCATCACAACCATCATCATCATCACCATCATTATTAACATCATCACCATCATTATCAACATCATCATCACCAAGACCATTATCACAGTCATCACCATCATAAGCATCACCATCACTAACATAACCACCAACATCATCAACATTACCACCAACATCATTACATTCATACCCCCCTCACCAAACACCACCATGACCATTAACATCATCACCACCCTTATCACCATCAACATCATCACCACCATCATCCACATAATTACGATTAACATCACCACCACCACCACAACCATCATTACTATCAACATCACCATTACCATCACCATCACTATCACCACCACCACCATTACCGTCACCATCAACATCGACACCATCATCATCATCATCACCACAATAAACATCATCACCATCACCATCACCACCATCACCATCACCACCATCAACATCATACCATTATCACTATTACCATCACCATCCACATCATCACCCCATCACCATCACCACCACCACCAATAACAACATTATCACCATCAACATCCTCGCCATCATCATCACCATCATTATCAACATCATCATCACCAAGACCATTATCACAATCATCACCACCATCATACCACCAGCATTACAATCAACATCGATATCACAACCTTCACCATAAACATCATCACCATCACAGTCACCACTATCATCATCACCATCACAGTCACCACTATCATCATCCCATCACCATCACTACCATCGTCACGACCATCAACATCTTCATAACCTCATCATCACCACCATCATCAACACCATCACCATCATACCACCACCATTACTAGCATCATCAATATCATCACCATCACCATCAATTTCATCAACATGACCATCACTAGCACCATAACCACCCTAACACCACCACATCTTCATAACCTCATCATCACCACCATCATCACAACCATCATCATTATTAACATCATCACCATCATTATCAACATCATCATCACCAAGACCATTATCACAGTCATCACCATCATAAGCATTACCATCACTAACATAACCACCAGCATCATCAACATTACCACCAGCATCATTACATTCATACCCCATGATTACACCATCATAATCACGAACACCATTAACATTACACCATAATATTTTTGTAAAAATCCTTTTTTAGTAATTATTAAATAAACTCTATGTAACAGTTCACGTATGATTTATATGCATCTTAAACACAATATTAATATCAATCATTTTATTTATATTTGAATTATTGGAAATTTTGGAAACTAATATTTTGTGTTATTATTTGTGAGATTAGGTATTGACTAAGTAAAGTTCTTATGCAAGATTAAGTTAATTTATCACCATCATTTTTAATAAAGTATATGACATTTTATGATTAACATATAAAATGTGATGAACTCAAATATAAGAACCGATCACACTCGAAAAGGAAAAAAAATAACAATCACACTTTAGTGATTAACATATACATGTCATTTTTTCAATAAAAATAGCTACTTTTTTAAATATATAACATTAAACTAAACGTGCATACTAAAAGTGGAATAGTGTGATAGTATAGTGCAAATTATATTATAAGTATTACTTTAGGAATCAAATAGTATCAAAGAACTGTACCAAAAATTAGTACGAAATGAGACAAGTGCAAAAAGTAGTCATATTGTTATCTTGGGGAAAACATTAAACATCCCAAACATTGAAAGGTTTGACACAAGTAGCCTAAGTTGCACATGTAATATACACACCCCGAACTTTATATAAAAACTTGTCTTAGCACCATGATCCTATATTTTGTTCATAAATGTAATTTTATGGTGTTAAGTATATAATTTAAAATACACAAAACATTTTTTAAGGATGCATCTTTTTATGGTGTTAAGTATATGCAATTATTATTAAATTGTACATGGTGTAATGTTATTTATTTCGCAAATGAAATTTAATAATGTTAATTGCATTCTTACAAAGCTTAGAATATTTTAAATCGTGTAATTATTCCAATAAATATATATATTTGTGAAAAAACAATCATGGTGCGAAAATAACTTTATATGTAAAGTCCAGGGTATATATTACATAGGGAAAAAGGAAACTAATGATCCAACCTTTTAGCGGTCTTCTTACAATAGTCCTACCTTTTCGTTATTCATGAATAATCCAACTTTTGCACCCCATCTTCATTCATTGGTCCCTGACCGATTGATGACCTGCTATTCCGAGTTATTTTCTTATCTTTGCAAACTATTATCTTTGTGAAAGGTTGAATTTATGGTATAATGGTTTGTAGAGATAAGAAAATAACCACAAAATAACAAGTCATCAATCGATCTGGGACCAGTGAATGAAGATGAGGTGCAAATGGTAGATTTTCATGAATAACGAAAAAGTGAGACTATTGTAAGAAGACCGCTAAAAGGTTGGATTATTAGTTTCAATTTTCCCAATTACATACTCCGTATGTAATTAAGTTTAGGATGTTTTCTTTTGGACTGTTTTCAGTCCCAGACCAGACCAGATCAGACCAGATAAGACCAGACCAGACCGGCAAATTTCAGTCCAAAAGAAAACATCCTTAGATTACTTTTCTCACACTCAATTAAAGTTTGAGATATTTAAATTATTTTCCACTTTTACTTTTAAAATTGGTAGTCTCAATTTTGTTCTTATCCCGCTAAAATTTCTATTTTTTCCTTATCCGAAAATCCCACAAAGATTTTTACAAACCAAATTTGGAAGAGCATGTGTGACATTGAATAATTGTCACTTTATTCTTACTTTATCAATACAACATCAACTACATAAACTTACTTTTCTTAATAACCATGTCACTTTTTTATACATGGTTCTCAGCTCACAACCTTGCCTGAAATTTAAATCTTTTGAATTATTTAAGCCAAGCTGCGTGATGTTCCAAACATGCAAAAATGTTAGAAAGTGTTAGTCACCAAAGTTGTACCTTTCATTTTCTTTAAATGCTTGTTTTGTCTTACCTTTACAAATGGAAAATGATTGATACATGAAGGATCTTGGCCAAGATAAGAATGACCCACAAGAGTTAAAATTAAAATTTATTTAATAAAATAATCGCTTGAAAGGCTGGATAGTTCATTGACGGAAGACTCATTTCCTTTTAATATATTTCATAAATTTAATTTTGTATGTGAGAGAAATAACTTGTGCCATTAAAAAGTGAAATTGAGTTGTTTACGGAGTGAAATCAATATTAATATAAAACATTTTATTTATATTTGAATTATTGGCGATTTTGGAAACTAATATTTTGTGTTATTATTTGTGAGATTAGGTATTATCTAATTAAAGTTCTTATGGTGCGTGAAGTTAATTCATCACCATCATTTTTAATAGTATATATATGACACTTTAGTGCTTAACATATAAAATGTAATGAGTCAGATATAAGAACCAATCATATATAATTGGACACAGTGAGTAGTCACATTTTGTCCACAGAACACAACTGCTCATATTTTTGTCTGAAGAAACTATGTTACTAATATACATGTCATTTTTTCAATAAAAAGGGCTACTTTTTTTTAAATATATAGCATTAACCTAAACTAGCACAATAAAAGTGGAAGTGTGATAGTATAGCGCATAGTGGAATAGTGTATTATTTTATTAAACGAATAGTATCGACGAACCGTACTGAAAATTGATACGAAATGGGACAAGTGCAAAAAATAGTCATTTTTTTTTCTTGGGGAAAAATTTAACATCCCAAACTTTGAATGGTGTGAGTGTGTGACATAAGTACCCAAACTTGCACAACCCAATTTTTTTATATGAAAAGTTGTGTTAATACCATGATCATATAAGAGGCACCTAAAATCATTGACGGAGGCTATATAGATAGTTCACCCTTTAATAAAATAGATTCATTGGCTTCCCTATAATATTAGTAAAATCAATATCATTTAAAATATCTAATATTTTTTATTATTATAAAATAAAAAAGGGTCATTTTTTATGTAAAAAAAATCAAAACATGGATAGATTATTTGTGATGCCTTTATAACCACACAATTTTATAACTCTATTTTTCTTATTTGTGAATGGACCCCTTTACCTTAAATTACAACCTTTTCTTGCTCTGATTAATATAAACTTGCAATAATTTTTATCTTTGTCTGAAAAATTAAATACACGTAAATCTAAACAAAACTTTTTTCTATGCCTAAAATTGTCTCCTTAGTATATACGGAGTACAATTACAAAAGACAACATGAACATGAGCAAAATATTCTAAGACACCAAAAGTAATTGTTTTTCAAAGATTTACACACTTATACGAATTGAATTTTGGTACCAAAAGTAAATTATTTCCTGCCATATGGCCTAGTGGTTGGCCACTCGAACATAACCAAGCCCTGCACCTCTTTCACCATGTGAATACAAGAGTTTGAATGGACGATGGACCCCTATGCTTTAAATGACAATCTTTTCTTGCTCTTATAAAGACAAACTTGCCATTATTTTTCATCTTTTTCTGAAAGTCTAAATACACATTAGTCTAAAATGAAGTTATTTCTATGCCTAAAATCTAAAATTGTGTCCTTGGTATAGACAAACACAAAGGAAGACAACATGAACTTAATACAACCGAGTGATGTTTGGTCATTTGTCTTAAATTAACTCAAAATAACTTTCAAAGTACCCATTATTACAATCCAAATGGCATTGAGAAATACAAATTAAAACTAAAACAGGTTAATTAAAATTTATTACATTGTTATTGAATACTGATATCAGAATAGTAGAATATCATATTAGGAAAATCAAAAGAACCTCAATTGACTTGGGAATCATCCAAAATCAATTACAAAAGTAACAATTACTACATTACCAACACCTCTCCATACCCGCATTTCTTTGTTCATCTATTTTCTACCTTGTAAAATCAAGGAAGATGACCATGTGTACCACCTACATGCAGTAAACATATTAAACATAAAATACTTAATTTTAATATAAGAGTTATCAGATTATCATAACAACTTAGTAAAAATAGTGCACAATAAAGATTACAGCAAAACCTGAACCAAAAACATATTATGGATACACAAAAAAAACTAGGAAAAATCAGGAAAGTGAACACATAAAACTAGTAATAAAGCAAAATAATAAAAGCACTAAGAAAAACAACAAGTAAGGCATCTGTATGATTCTATTTAACCAAAGAAGCAGGAAAAACCCAGGGGGGAAACAACAACTATATACTTCCCTAAAAATTTAGCACTTGAAGTTTCAGTTCAACTCTAACGCATATTTCGAGTATAATTTTACCAAATTGATGCAAAAGGGAAACATTTATCAAACTTGAATACCACACAAATTTTGGCTACAAATTATTAAACAAAACTGAAACCAAAATCAACAAAAACATTGCCAAAAGCAGAGATGGATGAAAGGGATTAAGAGAGACAATCAGAGTAGGGATGAGGATGGAAAATAGCTGCTGATTGAAGAATTTAGATACTCTCTGTGAAAGCAAACTGAAGTTAGCTAAGATGAAAGAGGGGTGCAGGGAAAATTGAGAAATATCAAAAAATAAGAAAAGGTCTTGTGATGGAACGCTGCCTTGCATAGCATCTAGTAAAAGACATGACCTTCTCAGAAAAGTTAACGAACCAAACACACAACTTGAATCTTCAAGGGACTTTTTCAATAATACGAAAGTTAAAAGCACCAGCTTTGACATTCCAAACATAGCCACAATACATACTTGTTTCAGCACCATTCTTAATGACTCCTTCGAGCAAAGCCTTCCAAGTTCCACCACCATCGTTGGGAACTTGACTCACTTCGGTGAACTGCACAACAATAGTTAAGGGAAAAAAAATACATTCCATTAAGTATCACCCTTACTTTTTTTTTTACTAAGATAGCACCGTAACTTTTTATACAACTCATACCTGTTGATACTGAACCATTTGTGGAAGTAATGGAATATTTGGATGTAAAATGGGTGCCCCATACGGATTGGTAGAGGGCATCCAATAATTGTATGACTGAGGACAACTAGCTTGAAAAAGATGCGTTGGAGATAACAAAGAATATTGTTGCATAGTCCCAGGAAAACGTTCACTTGAAAGGCTTGATGACTGATCAATTTTTATTCCACTCTTCTGAAAATTGCCATTAGTATTCAAATCTACCTGCTGCATTAACAACAACCAACATCAACAACATAATATAAAATAATACATCACTAGTATATATAACTCATTTATTAACTCATTGACCTTTGCTCTCTCATTTGCATGAACCTTTGATAAACTTTTTGTGGATTCACATTTCTTGATTTTTTTAGCCTGCAATAAAATAAAAAATATAATTAGAAAAGTATATGAACTCCACTCTTTTTTCTACAAGCATTAATACAAAAGACAGTTACATGAAATCTTTTCTTTTCCCTAACCGTGAAGTTAGGACAACCACCATTATCCTTGCTCCCAACACCATCAATATCATCACATTTATACATCTCATTACTACAATTGGTTTTGTGACTGTGATTGTCTTCATGTAGAAAGGTTCCTTTTCCCTGCAATCATATAAACATAACTAGTACACACATGTCATACTAAAAAAAAATTAAAATTTACTATAAAGTATGCTAACATATGTATATATATATGCAAATTAATTAACTAACATGACATCTTTGGTTGCCATCCAAAGATATAACGTCATCCTTCTGAGTGTCATTGTTATCAGAAGCTATCCTTGGGCATGTTGTTATTACATGTCCTGCACAGTTACAGTTCGAACAACGCCTCCTTTTACCTCCATTTTTTTTCTTTACTGGAGCGCCTTTTGTCTTCACAACAGTGGGATCACCAATATCTTCAACAAATGATGGATTACTACTCCCTTGTTCACCAAGCTTCTCTAGCTTATGAGTGAGTCTAAGTATCTCATCTCTAACTTCATCGAAGTATTGAGTCTTTTTGGCAGCAATTGTACATAGTCTATTACAGGAAGCTGCCAAAGCACCAAACCGAGCAAATATCATAACATCAACATCTACTTCACTTGATGACATTGAAGAGATTATATCACTCTTACTCGTTTTAGTCCACCTTCCACATATCAGGTTACTAGGAAAGTTCCGGATGTTCTCAGTTTTCAAAAAACATATAATATGAGAACAAGGAATACCGCGGGATTCATAAAGACGACAAGCACATGAAAATTTAGAATTTGATCTATCAAAATCAACTTTAATTAAACTTTCGGGATGCCCATATTTGCTCAGGTGAAGAGTCAATTCATCTCCATTTTCTATTCGACCCACAACGTTTAATGCACAACCAAGTTCAATCTCTTTCTTAACTTCTGTAAACATTTCCAGTGTATATATATCAGCAGCCTGGCGCTCAAGGTGCTTCAAAGAGCTCGTCATCACTGGTTCTGAGAAATTGGACTTAAAATCAGCCATCAACTCATTATTTCGGTACTCTCTTAGCACCTGTTCAAAATTATGAATAAATTCAACGAGGGTATTTTTTTTTCTCACATAAGATCTTATGAGAGAATTTATTGCTTCACACTGAGATGTGGTCCGGATGCGTCCAAAGAATGTATCACGTAGATACGCAGTAGCCCATAATAACTTGTTCTCATAGGTTTTCAAAACCCATGTGTTACCTTCAACCCCATTCTCAACTATAATTTTATGCCAAAAATCTTCAAACTCTTCAGGGGTGAAATTAGAATACATTGCTTTCTTAAAATCCTCCAAAAATGGTGTGTTCTTTACATTCTCACATGCATTTTTATTCAAGTGCCATGCACACAAGCGATGAGTAGAATCTGGAAAAACTACTTTAATAGCCTCCCTCATAGCAACATCACCATCAGTAACCACTGATATCGGATGTTTTTTATGCATTGCTTCCATAAAAGCTTCTAAGACCCATTTATATGTCTCAAATGTTTCATCTGACACCAAAGCACAACCAAATATAATAGTTTGAGAGTGGTGGTTACATCCTGAGAAAATAACCAATGGATAATTATATTTGTTTTTCTTGTACGTGGTGTCAAATGCAAGAACATCACCAAAGCACTGAAAGTCTACTATGCTTTGTCCATCTGCCCAAAATAAATGTTTCAGCTTTCCATCATTTGTAGTAGAATACTTACAAAACATTATGGGATCATTGTCAGCTTTGCCTTGAATGTAGCTAAGAGCAGCTCGTGCATCCCCATCTTGAATCTTAACACGCTTCTGTCTGTCAAGATAGTTGTATAGATCCTTTTTTGAAAATCCAATCCCACTATACCCTCCTTTTTGAGCCAACATATAACCCATAATATGACATGTACGAACACCCTGCATGTGTAAGATATCAATTTGGGCTTTGTCTGCATCATTCATGGCACGATAAGCGGGAAACAGGTGGACATACGTAGAAGGAGTCAAAAAATGATTATGTTGCTCCACAAAAGAACTCACAATCCATTTTGATTTTTTTCTATCCAAGCGCACACGAAACTTAGCTTTACAATTCGTGCGTGTGATTGGTGCATGAGGTTTTTTCCTATCCACCTTCTCCAAATACTTTTTTTGCCTCAATCCAGCTCTATTACATACTAATTGTTGCATTGTAATATTTTTGTTCCCGTCTCGAGCAAGATTATGTTTCCTCGCAACAAATCCCTTACATCTTGCATATGTTTGAAAAAATTTGCAAGCTTCATGTCGAGTATCAAATTCCAAATCTTGAATCTCACTAGATGATATGTCATATATTCTTCTAAAATGATGATCAGTAGCTGGTAATTGAATGTTGTCTTCATTCTCACTACCCTGCTGATTTTCATCATCGGTACTCATCTCGCAATCACTATCATCATTGTCAAATATAACTTCTTTCTCGTTGTCCAAAATAGCATCCTGATCATGAACCAAATTCCTCACAAACAAAATTCTCCATGAATATTATAGTCATTTACAATAAATGATAACATATAAAGATATAGTTTTACAAATGTAAAAAATTGGGAGAAAGGGACTACATCAATATACTAATTATAATACTGGTAAGGATGACTTAACTAATCTATTCTGTATATAAAAACGGAATAGTCTAAAGCCATTTAGGCGGGAAGTGCACAACCCTTTGCAAGTAATTTCTTACTAGATCACTTAATCGATTGTGCAATGAATTACTTCTACATTAAATTTGCCCCTCATTTTGAATTAGGTTTTGCCGGACCACTTAACCGATGGCACTTCAGCTTTTGGGGAGTGGAACCGTTTTTTGACAATATTAAGAAAACATTTACTATGTATTATTTAACCTTAATTTAAACATTGGAGAACCTCATATAAGTCCGCATCATTGAAAATTGTAAATTGCTATTGCTGCTAGAGCTTCTCCACTCTCTAGACTTCTTAATTATAAATAGATTGTATGACTACATAAGAGTGTTGTTCGTATAGTAAGGGTTTATTATAGAGTAAATTCCTTAGCAGTCATCAATAGGTATATCTTCATTTATTGGATAAGAATAATTAGCACATCTCCAAAATCCATACACATTTATGCAAGTGGGATGAGGTAATAACAACCTTTATTAATATACTACGAATAATGTATAAAAAGATAGTAATTCTGTTTTTTTAAAGTTGAGTAAACAATGTTAAGAAATTCATTACCCTTGATTTTGACATTCAACTAGCACCGTTTTATCAGTTTGTTAGATACAAATTTGCAAAACCATTATTTTCATGATGTCTACCAGAAAAACTAGATTCCGAACTAGTAAATGTTTTGTGCTGGTACTTTAGGCAGTCCAATTTGTTTTAGAAATGTAAATTGGGCCAGTCTTTTGGGCTGTGTTATTTTTTTGTAAACAATTTGTAAAACACATTAATGCACATTTCCTGCTACTTTCAAGTTTTAAGGTTGAAGTGTTTACTTAATAAAAAATGTTAAAGTGTTTTACTTGAAGAGTTGAAGTACAAGTTGTCATTTGCACGAGTACATGAATTTCAGCTTATTTTTAACAATTCATGAAGACAATTCATTCATTTAAAAGTTCAACAACTTACCATTTACTTAATCGCAAGTTGATTTAATCACTTATATTGTTACAAGTTAGGCTCATACTGTGGTCATATGGTATACCAATTCATGAAAAATTGAGACTAGATTATGTAAATCCTAATTTTTAGTAAACCCAAGAAAGGGAGGTAATAGCAATAAGGCACATACAAAGTTAGTAGTGTGAAACGAATATGGAGTACCTCAATATGTGCCATCTTTGTCAATTTTTGAGCTGGGAGTCCAATTGTCCAAAGAAGAAGGAGTTGACAGATGACTAAATTGGGCAGTCACATTGCGGTAAAGGGTGGAGCCAGGTCGACTGAAGCCGATGTCCCAAGGGGGCTGGGAACTTTGCCGCTACAAGCAGTGTAGTGATGGTTATTTAGGCTACAAGGAGCGGGTGAGGAGCATATATAGTGTTCACTAGCTCTTACTAATTAGTTAACCCTGCACATGAAAGTAAAGTGCTGAAGCACTACTAAGAGAGACAAAATTAACTAATATTTATTGAAGGCCTATTACTATGAACAACACATGTTACTTGTCAAAAATTATGGCCAACGACAAATGGAGTTACAAGTATTTTCAAGTCCAAACCTCACCAGAGTTGTGTTTCCGATTATATCTTCACATTTTTAAATTAAGAATTGATTTAATCCATCCTTTTTTGGGTGAGCGATGATCATGTTTTTTTTGTTAGAAGTACTCTCTTCTATACCGATGAGTATAAAGTTTACAAAATTTCATGGACTTTGTTAATTGTAAATAAAAACTAAGAGTAATGCATAAAAGCATACAAATCTAAACAAACTGTGTATATTTACTGGAAATGATTGAAAACTATTTTGTTTAGGTTTGGTAAGTAATGCATAAAATTTATACAAACCTAATTTGTTGCTTGAGAGAGACCAGCTGAGCTTAGCAAGAGAATGCGGTCTGTCCTCGTTTTTTGTTATGAACCCTTCTCTCTACTATGCACCATTTGATCTATGGAAAAATAGTGCTCCTTGTACTCATGTTTAATAATGAATAACCTATTGTGGATTATGCCTTGTATCTCTTCTTATTGTCGGAAACTACACTCCATCTCTAGGGACTGGAATAATGATTCGGTCATGCTTATTGAACCTATAATTTCTGAGTCCAAACGTACTTGAACTTTGAACACTTCTGTTGTTTCTAATCTTTTTCCCTCTAAGAAATAGGATATGAATCTTTTGGAGGTAAACCACCTTTGATGTAAGAGATATTGTTGACGGGTAACACTTTCTAGTGGCTAAGGTTAAACAAACTTAGCTTCATCAGACTTTAGTTGTGATCTCTCACAGTTATATGCTAAGGCGCTGAGCAAACTAGAATTGACGAGATTTTAATAACATTCCACATCTTTATGATTAAAGGTGCACATTCAGTCCATGTATTGGCAGTACCTAAATTAATAATTACAATCAGACTTCCAACCAGAAAATGAATACTGAATACAACATGAAAGAGCTTGCACCAAATAGCTACTGGATGATGTGTTGTTATAAATTTATTAGTCTGAATTTAGAAAAAAGATAACATGTTTACTAAAAAACATATTACTACATATATTTTTTCTTAGTACCCACTCATTATAACATGTTAATTATCATGACTGTAGATATGTATATTTCCAAATTGCCAAAACCTTTAAACCTTAACTCTTTAACAGAATGTAGAAAACATGAAGGGTAGTAAGAAACCCATCATTGTCTAGTTTTACTTTAAATTCCAACATTCTGAACTTTCCTAACAATAGATATAGGGGTCACAAATCAATCTAAATTGTAAAAACTTATGAAATATCATAAAAGTGAAACTAACAGTTGAAAAGTTCAACATTCTAAGCTTTACTAAATTGCAAATTGATTTAGTCAATTATAAAATTGAAATTAAGGTAATACTATGTTCATGTGGTACATGAATTCATGAAAATTTGAGACTGGGGTTCTATAAAGCCTAATTTTTATGTAAACCCAAAAAGGATGTGATAGCAATAAGGCATGTAGAATTTTAGCAGAGTGTGAGACTAGTACGGAGTACCTCAATACGTGCCATCTCCTTCAACTCATCACCTAGGGGTCCAATAGTCCAAAGCAGAAGGCGAGGAAAGATGGGCGGCTAGTCGACAAGAACCGAGGTCCAAGGAGGCAAACCACAGCTTCGCCGCTTCCAGAAGTGTTGTGGCGATTATTGACACTACAATGAGCAGGCAGGGACCTCGTGGGTGTTAAACCGACGACGCAGTTCAAAAGCAGGCATGAGGGAATCGGAAGAGGACTGCCTGTGTGGTGTGTACGGTGAATGGACCGGAAGAACAAGAGTCGTAGATTGGCCGCCGCTGACAGCCTCTCACTAGTTCAATCGGATGGAAAAGGGGTAGTACTGTAGCAGTGCTTGAAAATTGAAATCTGTATCAAGCAAGACAAGATGCAATCGAACAAAGGGAGGGGAAAGAATTAGAAATTAGAAATTGAAATACAAATAAGTCATTAAACGGAGTGATGTTGGAGGTTTCCTCTCCGTTAACAGAGAAAACGAAGAAGAGAGTTAAGGGGCTGTTTTGCAATTTTATTTTTTAAAAGTAGAGACCATTTGACCAGATGATGTGGAGATTAGTAGCACACATGTCAACCTTAGGGAGGTAGTGCATCGGTGCCCTCTAAAATGGGGTGGCATCAGAGAAAAACCCATTTTTTTATGCCAAACTGTCAATCCAATTTATTTATTTTTTTAACTGCCAATCCAAAATTATTCATTAAAAATGTAATTATTTGATGTGTTAGTCTGAGTATTTTAAGAATGTTTTACTTGGACTGTAATTTGCAGGTCTGGTCGGGTCTGTTTAAGTTTGTTCTGGTCTGATCTGGTCTGATCTGTTTAAGTCTGGTCTGATTTGATCAATTGGTCTGGTCTGATCTAGTCAATGTTTGGTCTCTTTATTTTTTATAACTACGGAAATCTGGGTTGGTCTGATCTAGTCTGGTCGGAGCTGGTCTGGTCTGTTTTGTATTTTATAACTACGGAAGTCTGGCCCGGTCTGTTTAAATCTGGTATGGTCTGGGATTGAAAACCGTCCAAGTAAAAACATCCTAATACTTGTTGCATGGATGGAATAATAACAAATTATATGGAAGTAAAATATTGTGTTTACGATTTTTTCTCCCATAAATTAATAAACAATAAATAATTTCATTAATTTTTGTAAAGTTGCAACGGAATAAGTTCTCTTGCAAATTGTTGTTGCTAGACAAAATTGTTGCAAATAAATATTTGCAATCGCTAATATTTTCATTGCAAATCCGTTGCAAATTTGGAACTTTGCAACTAAATAATATCTTATTGCTATTTTTGTTGCAATTTTGCAACGGAAATGACTAGCCATTGCAAAAGTTGTTGTAATTTATTTTCCCTCCAAATTTCCGTCGCTTTTGCAATGAAAACTTTTTCTGTAGCAGTATCAGTTGCAATTTTGCAATGTTTTTACATTCCGTTGCAACTTTCATTGCACTATTGCAACAAAATTTAGTTCGTTGCACTCTTCCGTTGCAAATCGGACTTTTCTAGTAGTGATTGCTCCTACTTTGGCGACCTCTCTCTTCACATCAAGCAACTTCTATATAATGTCACCAACCAATCCCTCGTCCATGGCAGGCCTCTGACACCCTAGCTACAATCTCTAAACTCAATCTCAGCCCAAAAGTCATTATGTATGCCTTCATTGATAATAAGAGTACAAGTAGACTAATTTTTAAAGTATACTCCCCCGTCCCATTTATATTGTCCCGTTTTACCTTTTCGGGAAGTCCCATTTAAATTGTCCCATACCATATTTGGCAAAGTTTGTGTGGATCTAAATCATTCTTACTTTATTCTTACTTTATCAATTAATATAAACCACACAAACCCATTTTTCTTAATAATCGTGCCACCCTCTTCCGTCCCGATATAAATGGGACGGAGGTAGTATATCATAACGCAATGACTACTATGGCTATGTAAAGTTGTAAACTTTATAATGAACTCCCCTGAGAAAGTGAGGGCAGATACATAGTTAATGACCAACACCCTCACAACTACTTCACATTGTTGCAACAGCACTGGATGAGCATAGAGAAAACTCGTAAATACTTCTCAAATGTCGAATAAACAGCTTTAGGATTTCAATTACCCCCTAAATAAACCTAACTACATACTAACCAAGAATAAAAGTGAAATTCAATGAAATAGCAGTACTCTCCAGTAAAACTTTAAGATATTTTAGGCATGTAAACATTCAACTTTGCACAGCAGAAAAAGAAAGTAAAATTATTAATTTATTATCCATGTATGTTTTGATAATTTCTGGGGTCGTGATGAAGAAAGAGAGGCATGCCTTAGCTTTGTAGATGCGAGGGTCATGGTAAGAGATGACCTTTTCCCCTCGAATTAGAGATCGGGGCACCCGGAGAGTTGTCGCTATCGCAGCATGAAGCCTTGGAGTTTTACTCATCTATTCGGAGGGCATGCAGCCTTACTTTGGAATCTCTCGCACCCTTGCACAAAGCATGGAACCTACGGTTCCTGCCTCTTCTTCGTCGACAGAAGATACTCGATAGCACTTGGGAACCATCAATTTAGACATTCTGAAAGTGGAGACCTAACGGAGGATAACGTTAACCGGTATTTGTAGGGACCTACCAGCAATAAGGAGAAATGTAAACGTAGTATAGAACTATACTAATCTTATATTACGTGTAAATGTAAAATATACGCCACCATATTATTGGTCCATTTGTATTTGGTTCTGTACCTTCACGTTTTTTAAAGGTACCATAGTTCTCACCACAAACAAATACTTCATTTTATTGTCTAGAGGATCATTAAGACTTATCTGAATAGCGTTAGTGGTTACTTTTACAATTTCAACTCTAATAGTAGCCTCGGATAAGATGATAAATTCAAAGTCTTTAGCAGAGGTATGGAGCTGAGTAGCTGACAATAATTTCTTTATAATTGGACATACGTACTCCTGGAGTTAGGACTAAAAAGGACGTAGTGTATATTATATGGATAAAAAATAAAAAATTATTTTGCAAATATCTTAAAAAAAATATCTTCATATTTTCTAGGTCTAAAATCATTTTTGAGCCAATATTATATTCTTGACGAATTGCAGAGTGTTTTGCTTTGTATTCAAGTGGGTTAATGAGGAGGCAAAAATTTAAAATTAGATAAGAAATATAAGTATTATAGTATATGTATTTATAAGTAGATAATTAATATATAGGTAGATATAATAATTGTATAAGAATTAAATAGTAAAATATAATGGAGATTGGAGAACAAGAAAATAAGTAGATAAGAAGTATAAGTAGAGAAGTAGATAATATTATGTATTAAGTATATAGTAATAGTTTATAAAGTATATTTAATACTTTAATATATAAAGTATATAATTAAGTAGATGTAGTATGTATGTAATAAGTAGATAATAAGTAGAGATTAAGTAGATAAGAAATATAAGTAATATAGTATATGTATTTAAGTAGATAATTAATATATAAGTAGATATAATAACTGTATAAGTATTAAATAGTAAAATAAAATATAATGGAGAATAAGAGAATTTGAGAAGATGAATATGGAGATGGGTAGAGAGTAGGATTTAGGAAGAGTTGGAGAAGAGGTGTAAAAAATGTTTAAAATTAGGAGTATTTATAGGTTTTTTTTAACCCCCCACCCCCCCAAAAGCCCCAGACCCCCTGGTACCCACCCAACGACTATATAGCCGTTTGGGATGTGGGTCAAAGAGCCAAACAGCTCTTTAGAATTTAAAGTATTTTTTTTAAAAAAATAAGGCCGTTAGGCCCAGACCCGGGCCCAACTCGGCCGGGCCGGGTCGCCAAAACCAAGCACCGAGCCCGGACCCGCCCCCCCCGGTTCGGGCACTGAACCGGACCCGGACCCCAAAACCAGGCCGGTTCCGGGCCCGCACAGTAGCGGGCCGGGTGGCCCAAACCGGGTCCAAGACTATATGGGGGCGAGGCAGATAGACATAAGCCTCGGGCTCCATAATTATGTATGTGAGGCACCAATTTAAGAAAAAATCTATTACTATGTTCTATTAGACCATTTGTAGTGGTAGGAGATTAGGTATCCAAAATGTTAAAATTTGAGATTTTGAACTTCTAATTTAGTGTAGTGGTGGATTGAATGGTAGATTAAAAGTGGGAAAGGAGATGCAAAGTATATTTAGAGGGTGGGTTGACAGAAGTAGGGGTGGGCAAAAATACCGAATCGGCATGCTACCGAACCGGGCTGATATGGTACCGTACCGAATAACGGGGTTCCAAATGGTTCTCGAAATTTTTGTCCCGAACGGGACCGTACCGGTTCCAAACCATGCCATGACCGGTTCTCGTAAAATGAGAACCGGTACCGGACTGAACCGGACCGAATTAGTATTTATATAATTAATACTCCCTTCGTCCCGTAATTAAGTTCCTACTTTCCTTTTTGGGATGGTTCATATTAAAGTTCCTACTTCAAACCTTTCCTTATTTGGCAAATGATTTACACCAAAACAGTGTCAAACAGTGTTCAAACAGTGCACTCCACAGTAAAGTCAATTTTATTTCTTAGTATGTGTGAAGTCAAACCATGAACTTAATTAAGAACCAGAGGGAGTAATTTATAATTATTGTATATGTATATAATTTGATGACTCCTTCCAGTTTATACTTTGCCACTTTGTATACATTTATAATATTTACTAATTCGTTGTATGTGCCTACAGGGGAAGATCTTCATAGGGTGAAGCCCAGCCCAATTTGTCTTACTTTTTACTCCGTATTTATATGTTTAGCCCATGTAAAAAATACTCAAAAGTGAAACAGTTTGCTGACTCAAACCCGCTTGCCCAAATGTCTTACATTTGTCGAAAATTTGTGTGGATTTTTGGATTATGACTAAACTTTATCATGTCAAAAAGTGGCATTGTTTGGTATTGGTATGGCATGGTACCGTACCGTTTGAAATTGGAACCGTACCGAACGGGTTTGGGTCTAAAACCGAACCGAACCGTTTCAAAAGTAACAATCCGGGTACGGGTTTTGTCAAATACCGGACCAAACCGGACCGCGCCCACCCCTAGACAGAAGTAAAGAAAAGGAAAAAGAAAGGGACGGCTAGGATGCAGGTTTGGTGTTGGATGTGAGTGACGGTATGCTGACATCATAATATCCCAAATTTTTAAACTTCTATAATTTTTTTTATTCACCAATTTTTTGAGGTCAAAAAATATATCAAAACTCATAATTTTTTTATGATCTTTTATATGATACCAAATTTACATATAAAAAGCGTAAAAAAATGAAATTTTAACTGTTGGAGTCTGGACCCAAAAATGACATTAACTTTTTTATTTTATTTTTATTTTCAAATGAAAAAAGTTAAAAAAATTAATGATTTTTATTTTATATTCTCGAGATACATATATAACAATAAATTTTAGAGATTAGAGGAATAAAAAACTTGAACTCGATTTTTATTTTATATTTTTGAGATACATATATAACAATTACTTGAACCCTCAGTTCATTTTTTGTTAACCGAAAAATGATAAAACTTAATGAAATTTATATTTTGTTTACATCGAAATGTGTATTTTTTTATTTCATAATTATTTCGGCAAAAAATTAAAAGGACAACATTACTTATACTTATTTAATTAATGTTTTAATAAATTGATAAGTAAAAAATGCGTTAAATGTATTTTATTGACGGTGTTGGAATGCAGGGAAAACATTATCATCATCATCATCATCATCATGAGCAACATCATTATGATTAACATCATCATCATCATTATCATCATCATTATTATTACTATTATTATTACTATCACTATTATTACTATTACTATTAATGAAGAGTATTATTGAAATGAACCCTTAATTACAAGAGTATTATTGAAGTGAACCCTTATTACGCTTTGAAATGAACCCTTAATTACAAGAGTATATTGAAGTGAACCCTTATTACGCTATTATTACGCTATTAACTAATGAAACTAACCGAACTGGAATCTCGTGGGTTTAGCTTTTATTTAGAAAGAGCATTATTGAAATGAACCCATAATGAAGACATGTTAACTATCTACTTTTTACTGACACAAGCTCATGAATGTTGTATGTTTGATTCATGAATGTTGTATGTTTGGTTGAGTGGTGGGGTTGGGGCAAATGAACACCTCTCTCGCAAACGAATTTGGATCCTCTCCCGTAACTGGAGAGTTCCAGTATGAGAGATATAGAGAGGAGAGAATTAAGGGTGGGGTAGGTTGGTGAGTAGAATAGAGAAAAAGGTAGAGATAAAGAGGAAGTAAAAAAGAAATGGAGGGGAAATGGAGAGAAAGAAATGGAGAGGAGCTGAACCCCTCGCAAACTGTCATAATTTGGGTTATTTTGGTGGACAAATCTTTTTTGACTTTTTATTTTTTTATCAAACATTTTTAGAAATCTCAATTATTTCTGTTAAGAATTAATTATATAACTAAAATAAGTATTGTTTACAAAAATGTGATATCCTAATGTAGCTATAATGGTAACACTTAGATCTAGTAACCTATGCTCACTTTTAATATTAAAGCGACTATGAAACAAACTTGTAGTAACTATTAATCATATTTTTGTAAATAAATTCTAGTTAAAGATGGTTTTTGAAAAAACCCTCTTTTGTTAAATACTAATTACTTAGAAAATGATTTAATTGATCGAATAAGTAGGTAAAGAAATTTATATATAAGAGCATAACAAAGTAGACACTATGTATTTTAATATTTGAATTGCGTTTCAATAAAAAATTTGTTTATTGTATTCGAAAGAAGGATTGCTATCGAATATCTCGATTTAATCTATATTCTTTCTAGATTCAAAGACTCACCCTAAAATCACAACAAAACTAAATACATACTTTGTACAAGCAAAATCTCTTAAATACGTACTTGGCAAAATCGCGTAGATAATTAAATATGCTGGTTTATGGAAAATACAATTTCACTATTAAAGAAAGATAAGAAAGAGTACTGAGCAAGCATGATAAGAGGGTGGAAAAAGAAGGGAGAGGAACTTTTACTTCCAACGCACAGGAGAATGATATATTAATAATTTAATATCATTCTATGTTTTCATAAGTATTTATAAATAATGTATTTGAAAGTTGCTAATTCTCTATTTCATTTTGCGGTGAATAACTCCCTAATAGTTGATACTCATTACTCAGGGTCGGTTTTGACGATTCTGAGGCGTAGGGACGAGTCATCTATAATAGGCCTATTTTTTTTTAAAAGTATATTGTGAATCTTTTCTTTACCCTTCACCTCTTTTTCACTTTATCTCATCCAGATTCGCCCAATTCTATTACACTTAAAAATTAATTAAATTTTATAAATTTAATGAAATTGTAAATTTTTACAGAATAAATTTTAATTCTATAAAAAATCACAATTTAATTTCATAACTATTTTTTACTAGAAAATCTAAAACACATTCACAATTTCACTATTTCATAAAATGATACTTCTCTATTTAATACACCAACAAATTTAAAATGCACAAATTTATGATCAAACGACAATATAAACAAATTCACACTTTCAGCATTTCACGATTTAACAAGACAACAATCAATAAGCTATAAGTCTACAATTAAAAATCTAAATTCGATATAAAAAGTAAAAAACTTTCATAACTATTAACTAATAATGTATTAATGTAGTAAGTGAAAAACATAGAGCGGGGATTTAAGGGGTGGCCCACCAAAGGTAGAATAACAGAATTGCAAATTTATAGAAGCAGAATTGAGGTGAACATCACGTGTTTTTACGATTTGTTTACTATTCATCTTACTGGGCCTAATTGGGTGGATGAAAATACTGGATAGATCCAAAAACCCAGCCTACTCACCCTTCGTATAAAACATAAATATTGGGCCTATTTTTTCACTTTTTTTGGGCCTAGGGCCCATGCCCATGCTGCCTTCCCCCGAGGGTCACCACACAAAACCCACTATCTTAATCCCATGTCAGGTCACAGGAGGAGTTTTATTAGGGACGGAGGGAGTATTTAAGAATTTAATAAGTGACACTCCAAAATATTATATACCTAAATTGGCCAGATGAAACAAGTAGTACAACTATTATTGCAATACAAAATTCTACATTAACAAAGACGTGAAAGATATATTATATATAGAGTAACTTTCTCAAAATTCAGATCACATTTTTAGTAAAGTAAAACAAACCACATATTCCTAAATTCTGGATACTATAATCCAATCTTTAACTTACGAGAAAACAAAAAAAAAAAGTGAAATACTATGAATGAATCTGAGTATACGTGAGAGAAGTATAGCAAAAGATTAATATTTATTGGGGTGTTTGGAACCGATTCTGCTTCTCCTTCTTTTTTAAAGCAGAAGCAGAATCAGAATCCGTTTTCATAAGTTGACCTCCCCCAGTTTCTAAAAAAAACTGATTCTAGGAGTAAATTATAGTATCAGAATCACTTTTTTACTTTCACCCAAACACTCCAGCTTCTGCTTCTGCTCCCCGAAGGAGCAGAATCAGTTTTAAGAATCAGATCCAAACACCCCATATATGCCAAGTGAACCAAAAGAAATGGCGAAGTGAGAGAAGTATATCAAAAGATTAATATTTATATGCCAAGTGAACCAAAAGAAATGGTGAAGTATGATCCAAAGATTCTAATGTGGATATTTCAAAGTTTTAGACTTGTAGCGTGTAGTTGTTGTTACATACTCCCTCCGTCCCAGAATTAACTTCGGTTTTGACTGGGCACGGAGATTAAGAAAGTGGGAAATGTGTGGTTGAGAGTTGTGCAGAGGAGAGAGAAATGTGTAATAATGGTTGTGAACCACAAATCCTTTGCTAAAAAGGGAAAGAGGAGATAAATTTGGGACGGACCAAAAAGGAAAGAATGAAGATAATTATGGGACGGAGGGAGTAACAAATTTAAAGCATAAAAACAATTACTCCCTCCGTCCCATAATTATCTTCATTCTTTCCTTTTTGGTCCGTCCCAAATTTATCTCCTATTTCCCTTTTTAGCAAAGGATTTGTGGTTCACAACCATTCTTACCCAGGGCCGGCCCGGAGAAATAGGAGGCCCTGTTCAAGAATAAAATATGAGGCCCTCGAATATCAAAAAATAAAATACTAATTTCAAATTCTATTACACCACTCCTTACTAAATCCAATTCTACTCATGGACATAATTTACTATGGATATTAGTTATCACAATTATATTTTCCATTAAAAAAATCATATTTTTAATCCAGATTCATATTTCCAATTCTTAGAAGCATTATAATTTATAAAAAGTAAAATGAAAATAACAATTAACAGGTAATAAGTGTAATCAATTAAAGAAAAAATTGGGAAGAAATACACCTCAATAAACAGAGGCAATCTGAATGTGTTTAATTCAATCACCGTTTCTCAGTTTCACCTCCCCTTGCTATGCGCCTCTACTTAACAACTTGAACCTTGAAGAGTTAAAGTCTGCCGCCCATCGAGGAGATGGTGCCCTCCTGAGTTTATAAATGATGGAACACCGCACTACCGAAGGCATCACGACTCAACGAAATTCATAGATTGAATTGAAAAGCTCTTAAGCCACTAAGTCAGAAGCTCGAATAACCGAACAAAGATACAAAATAAGAAAGAAGATTTTTTTTAGAAATAGGGAGACCTAAGCTCTGTAGAAGACGCGAGAATATTTGGAATTAAGTGGAAGGCAGTTTGTTGACTTGTTCATCGATTGAATACAGGATACTACGTGTTTAACATTAAAATCCTAGTTAGATTACAAATTAAATTAAATTTCATACAATTTCTTAGTCTCCTTGAATGGTTCCGTAGTCTCCTCGGAAATTGTAGATAGTTCGCCGCTTCGTCTGTTTAGAATCTTTCGAGTTCCAATGAGGGAGGCGTATAAATTATCGTCGGCTTTCAACGTCAAAAGAATATGAGGCGCACAAAGAGACTGTCTAATACATTTGGGCTGGAATAATTATTTTCTAATGGGCTTAGTATATATTATACGAATAAAAATGGAGGCCCTCCTACAATTAGGGGCCCTGTGCACTTGCACCAGTTGCACCTGGGCCGGGCCAGGCCTGTTCTTACCCATTTCTCTCTCCTCTGCACAACTCTCCACCACACATTTCCCACTTTCTTAATCTCCGTGCCCAGTCAAAACCGAAGTTAATTCTGGGACGGAGGGAGTATAAAATTTAGGAAAAACGGTCAAATAGGAAGTTATTTTTTTTATTCAAAATCAACCAAGGTGCTAGTATAGATAACAATCATAACATATGCATACCTAATTAAGTGTCACGTTATTATGATTAACTCCTATCCGAGTAGTTATGTCATGAAGTACTTGAGGTGCGCAAAATCTCTCTCACCCATTTACTACCTTACACGATCTCTGGCTGTTACATACTCCGTACGTTTTAACTCACCGAATACAAATTGAGTGTTAAATATCCCACGCAGAAAAAGTTTGGATGGAACCCCGTGTTTTAACATTGTATCAGAGCCAAATCGATCCATGGTGTGGGTCCCTTATGATAAATGACGACACGATTGTAAAAAAAATGACAATGACGAATCAACGAAAAAAAAGAGAATGACGACACAATCCAGATGAAGTGTCTGGTCGTGAGGAGGGGTGTTAGAATCCCACACCGGAAAAAGTTTAGGGGGATGGAACATGCTAAATTAGTTGGAGCTCTTAAAGGATATGGTTTTCTTCAATCATATGCTGATTGTTCTTTGTTCACATGTACTTGGGGATCTACTCAATTGAATGTCCTGGTTTATGTGGATAATCGGGTTATCTCAGGCAATGATCATGATGCTATTATTCATTTCAAATCCTATTTGAGTGAGTGTTTTCATATGAAGGATCTCGGACCCCTTTGGTATTTCCTTGACATTGAAGTTGCTCGCAGTCCCTCGGGTCTTAACATGGTATCCGAGCCAAATCGATCCATGGTGTGAGGTCCCTTATGAAAAAATGACAATTACGGCCGGATAAAAAAAACGGACGGATGAAAAAAATGAATGATGGCACGATTCAGACGAAAGTGTCTGCTCGTGAAGAAGGGTGTTAAATATCCCACACCGAATAAGTTTGGATGAACCAAATGCTATATTCACACATGGACTACTCCTCCTATCAGGTTGACCCGTTAGCATGGGAACCCGTATCTTAACAATCAACTCGCTCGGCATCTGCATTTGGCCTTTAAAATATTCTTCATCTTCTTCTCGTGAGAAGCCTACATTCTCTTTCTCCAGCCGCACACCGACATCTTCTTCCGATCCTATATATGAAGGCCGTTTCTCCTCTTCTACAGCTGCACGGAAAGTCATTGAAAGAAATAATTTCTGCCTCAACTCAAGCGTTATTCATGAAGTTATGTTTAGAATTAACAGCTTTAATAAAGATAAATATCACCCTTTTGTGGAAATTCCTCTTAGCAAACATGAGAGATGATAACATATTTCATCATGGTGATTCACTTGGCAGGACTCTTACCAAACCATGAACTTAAAGCTATCCAAATTTCATAGCCATTTTCCCGCTTCTCTCTCTCCCCATTTAATTGTTGTCCTCTCACCCACAACTCCATTTACTTCCTTCCTTTTACTACTTGCTTCCTTTCACCAATTTTCCTCATATAATCAGCATGTGCTACGGCCTGGTGCTACCCCAAATATGGTCATCCAAAGGTATTTCACTTTCAATTTATCATCTTCTCAAAATTGAATTGGTACCTGGATGCTGCACAAACATGAGAATAGAACTTCACAATTGGCCGCTATAACACCGTAGTACCGTTGTGTCATACTTTTGTTCAGTCACATGTGTTTGCTTTTTTAGAGTATGTGTGATTGTTTTCCATTGTATTATGAAATTGTTTTCTAATTTTGATTATGTTTGGTAATTGGTACCACAAGTTTTGATTAACTGCGAATAGAACATGGGTTAATATTCATTTTTAATGAATTGATAAGCTATATTTTAGAGCGTGCGTAGTCTCTTATTCTGCATATGCAATATTTGATCAAATGAACATGGGTCATATTTCTTTGTTTTTAAATAGCCTTAGAGCAAAAAGATTCTCCAGTTATGTCACATTAACTTTAATACTTGGAATGTGAGAAAGAGTTCCCAATCATTTTTATTTGTTATAATTTGCATCATACTGAAGTTAATATCTGTTTTAGTATTTCTCACTTAAATTAATTAAGATACTTTGTTTAGATTTTACTCTTATTTTTAGTTTGTGAAATAGTTACTTGGTAAGTTGAATTATATTTTTTGTTTTGGTTGTGTTGACGGGCCAACTATTAAGTTGCTTTAAATTAAACAGTGAATCCTGGTATAGAGATATGAATTATATATGGAATATTTTTATTCAATGGGTACTATGAAGCTCATCATGAAATACACAAGGCCTTGCTCTATGTTGCTAAAAAGATGGAGATACGGAGTATATGTTTTTATATTTGTATAACTTTCGTGTGGTATGTTCTCTCTTACAGCCTTATAGGTAGATTATAGGTAGAACCGTAGAAGCATTGTTGTTGATGGTAGGTGTCTGGCACACGTCTTGTGCATCTACATGCTCTTTCGGCTGCACCTCTAATTGTTCTATTCATTCCACACTATCTACGTTTTTCTTCAAATATGGTGTTTTTTGTCTTTATGTATTGATTTAATTTGTTGTATTCCAAGTAATTGGAGTACTATAAGAATAAGAATTCTTTCAAATATCCATGGTTATAATTGCTATTTTTGTTTTTTTTCATTATCCTGCTTTATCTTGCTTATGTAGGCATTGTTTAATCATTTTGCTCTTCACATCAACTATGTGTTTCCGTTGGGCATTAAACTTCATGCAACGTGCATACCCAAGTTAGTCAAATATATAAAACTGAATGTGATCTACTACATATAACTCTACGAAAGTTATTGTCACTAGGACATACGTAGTATATATTAAAAATAACCTCCGGAATTCTCTCTATATATATGAAGGAAAAATTCATTCTATCTCAAACTCTTGGCCATGAAAAAAAGTTTCTTAATATATATCTATCACAAAAAGAGCTACTCAATGTATATACACTAATCTATTACTATGGTGCAGTGAGACCTTATGACTTTCATATTGTTATAGCAATATTAATAGTGCAGCTCATATAAATGGGCCCCACACTTTTGTTGAATTATTTCCTGAGATAAGAAGCATTGTATATGCCATCATGTAGTACCGTCATATAGTATTAGCCATGTGTATATCACAACTCTCTTTCTTCTTCAAAAGGTGCCAACATCAAAATGATTTTCCCAATAACACTTTTAACAGAACAAAAAGTCTATATAGCAAAATCAATTTAATGTTGACACCTTTCGAATAAGAATGCGAGCAGTGCTATAAGTATAAGGAGGGCTGAAATTATGTGACCGTATAATGTTATGACAAATAAATGTGATGTGTGTTTTCTCGCACTTAAAATAGATCGTAATATAGTGGTGTAAGTACGAGTATCGTCTCCACAGGGACGGACAAAAGGGAATCAAGAATTAATTAAATTCAGCGATTAAAAAGAAAATAAAATAAAAGCGTCATGCGAGATTGGTTGGTTTGGAAAATAAAACTAATGCGAACAATTAAACTAGGGGGTTCTTTCTAATTAATGACGAAGGGAACAAACAGGGATCGATTCCGGGGTAACCAGATTTCTGGCAGATCAGGCCTAATTACATGAAATTAAGTTAATTGAGCCTAGCTAATCATTACTAAGTTCTTACCGCTCTCGCGGCGTAGAGTACAATAATTTAGGGGACCAGGCTGATCTCTCATGCGACAGGATCCTAAATTATTGCCAAGACGAGCGAGCTTACGGCCCCTTAATCGCTACTAATCTCTTAGCGAACGATTAAGTGTGTGTGAATGTGTCGTGGAACAAATTAGATCTCTCTTAATTTATTCTACATGCAATTGTAATTCTAGTCGCGATTCTAGGTTACAAAAGATATCAATTAAATTATTCAAAAACAAATTAAACGGCATTCATGTAATTAAACCGAAAAGAATCTAGCCATACATCATGATTAACCCCTTCATCAATCCCAAATCCCTAATTAAAACTACTCACAATTCATAATTGAAGAATCAATAGAATTGGAATAAAAAGAATTAATTGTCATTAATTAAAAAGATGGAACTTACAAAGAATCCCCAAAGATTGATGAACAAGGCTGAAAAGCTCTCTAAAATTCGTGCTAGGCACTCTCTCTAAGCTCCCCCCTTGAAAACGGGGGTTTACAGGCTGTTTAAATAGAAAAATCGGGTGAAATTTGAGCTGAATTAGGATTTTCGGAGCCAGACACGATGCCAGGCACGATCGTGCCTTCGATCGTGCCTCCGGAGCAAAAACGCGCATTTTGGGCAGGCACGATCGTGCCTCCCTCCAGGCACGATCGTGCCTGGCTGGCAGTAACTCCTCCGTGTTTTCTCTTCATGCACGATCGTGTCTGACTTTGAGGGCACGATCGTGCCTACTTAACTTCCGAATTTGACAAAACTTCCTTCATATAAGTTGTAGATAATGAAGTCCTCTATCCACCCCAATTTGCCGAATGTGATTTGAATCATCCAATCAAGAGATATGATCAAAACGGTGGAAGGTGTCATTCTGAAACCGCAGCAGAGATCATCTGACTTCATCGTCTGTTTTCACCTCCTTCCTCTCAGATTCTTGCAAAGGTGTCTTCATATGATTTGTAGCCCTTGAAGTTAGCTTTCATATGGAACTTGAATCGTGTACATTGGATGTTTCTACAAAGAGATATGCTTGAACGATTGACATAAGGTCATCCTGATTGTCGTTTTCAAGCTTCATTCATCTTCTTTTGACCCCGTAGTCAATCCTAGAGCTCTTTTTCTTTCAAATCTTCATCGTGAATCTTCCGGTGACCTCCAAAGCTATCAAATTATTCTCAAATGCTTCTCAAATCATCCCGATTGTTCCTCAAGTGTCGGTGCCGGGCTCAAATTCCCTGATTTTGACTACAAACAACACAAAACTCGAACCAACGCCCGGTAAACATAACTTGAGCTAAAATTGAGACTTGCAACACCTTAAAGCTAGGAAAACCATCAAAATCCAATCCCAACACACATCAAATGTGTGTCTAATTACGGACTTATCACGGTGCTATATCAACATCAGAAATTTTATTATGCCCGTTACGTATTCGTTAGAGAGCACGTTGGTACAACCTATCCCAAACTCCGTTGAAGTAATACTACATATGCTTTGTTACTAACTTTTACATGGAGTATTAAATTATAAATGCCAAACTCTTGATATGATTTTCCAATCTTGTTTTTATTCAAGTCTTTATTTCTTGAATTGAAGTATCAACGTGATTATTTAGAGAATTGTCGTTGAACATTTATAATTTAATACTCCATGTAAAAATGAATAACAAAGCATAATACTCCATGTAAAAATGAATAACAAAGCATATATAGAAAGCACGTTGTACCAACGTGCTTTCTAACGAACATGTCACAGGCATGATAAAATTTCTGATATCAACATTGCTATAACAATATGAATGGGGCCTCACCATACTACCATAGTAACATATACTAGTAAGTATATTTATATTGAGATGCTATTGAGGTAGAGAATATATTGAGAAGCTTTTTTCGTGTAGAGATAGAATGAAATTTCGAGATTTGCAGAGGTTACAAAAAATACTCTTCCCTGACTACACTTCGGAAGGTATAACTCTGCCTTAGCGCCTTATTTAGGATGTTTTATTTTGGACTGAAATTTGCTGGTCTGGTCTGGTCTGATCTGGTTTGGTCTGGTCTGTTTAAGTCTGGTGTGGTCTAGTCTGAACTGGTCTGGTCTGGTCTGGTAAACGTCTAGTCTCTGTGTATTTTATAACTATCCAAGTCTGGTCTGGTATGGTCTGTTTAAGTCTGGTCTGATCTGGTCTGGGACTGAAAACAGTCCAAAAGAAAACATCCTTACTCCGTATTTTATTGTTATAGTTATTAAATTATGGAAATTTGTTGATTATCTGATTTGGAGTGCGATTAAAAGTTGCACTTCAGGCGTTTCCCCTTTGAGATTTTAGAGAATCAGAATGTGTACTTGCACCGTTGTATAGTAATCAACTTCCTCAAATACTACTATTAAATAGTATTAATAGTCAAATTCCTCAAATAGAAAATATTTGCAGGCTTGAAAGACAAATCTTGACCAGGGCAATGTGATCTGTACTAGAGGCACATGGATGAGAATTATATCCACTATCCATCTACTTCATTGGTTAGTATTAACATTTTTTATTGAATTGTTGTTATTGGGACTTTGGAGTGGCTTCCTACTAAACCTACTCCAATCTCATTGTTTTTTATTACTACCTCCGTCCCATTTATATTGGGACCGAAGAGGGTGGCACAGTTATTTAGAAAAGTGGGTTTGTGTGGTTGATATTAATTGATAAAGTAAGAATAAAGTAAGAATGATTTAGAGCCACACAAACTTTGCCAAATATGGTATGAGACCATTTAAGTGGGACTTCTCGAAAAGATAAAACGAGACAATATAAATGGGACGGAGGGAATATTATTTTTAATAAGTTATTAAAACATTATATTTTCAATCACTGTCAACTTACGGGAGCACTATTCTTCTTCAAAAAAAAAAAAAAAACTTACCGGAGTAGTATAAAAAATGGCTTCTCAATTCCTCTTAAATTAGCAAAGCCACTTTAGTTGTATTTAAACTATTAGGGAAATCCCTACCTTAAAAGTGAATACTTTGCTTTCCAACCCAAAACATTTAGAAAACTTTTTCAAAAAAAAAAGTATCTGAAAGGAACTGTATAGTTTGGAGGTTTTGAAAATATTCTTAATTGCAGTTTGGTTTTGTTCATCCGATAAGAGCCCTTTTCACTATTTATCTTAGTTTCAGTCGACCTCCTTCTGTTAATGAAGAATAAAGACTCTGTTAACAGTTTAGGATAATTTGGCATATTATGATTTTTATGTTGTTAACTTAAAGCACATGAGCTCAAACATCTGAAACCCTTGAAAGTGTGAATAATCACATATACACTAAGAGCCCGTTTGGAGAACTCTGTTTTCGGCTTATCAGGCTTATCAGCCAGCTTTTTCACCAAACACGTAACTTTTACTTTCGCGCGCTGAATTGTGTAATAAGCCGAAAAAGTAAGGTTGGAGTTACTTTTCTGGCTGTATTGGCTGAAGTTACTGTAGAGGACCATTTTAGCTATTTTTACATATAATTTTTTCTTTAATTTATTAATAAAATATATTTGAAAGAATGGCTAGAATATTATTACAGGGCTTTCGGATGACAAAAACAAGACCAATTTAAGATTTGACAAAAAAGTGACTAACTAAACGAATGCACCCAACGGCCCAGCACCTGTCCGTTCAATTCTCTTCATTGCTCTAGACTTCTTCCAAACCCTTTCTTCTTCCTGTCATCTACGTACACCAGCAAGGCATCGACTTCAACTCCGACGATTGGCATCCCAGACTAGCGACTTCAACTCCGGCGAATGGTGACGACGTTCAATGGTAACGCCTTCAACTCCATCGTCACCTCTTCCGCTCACCTCCCTACCTCCGCTGCTCCCTTCCTCCGCCGCCAGGTCTGATCCAGGCTTCGTCGTCGGCAACATTTCATCTTCTTCTCCTTTATTCTGTCCGCAAACATCCGCTACACTTCCAATAATAAAGCCCAATCGCAAACCTAGATCTAGATCTAACACTCCCAGATCTTATTTTTCACAGCGGAGCAAAAAATAGCTGTCAAGGCCGGCGACAGGTGGGGGCGTGGGGTAGTGAGGGGCGTTGTTCGGGACTGGTAAGTACAACGACGGGATGATGGTGGGTTGTTAGGGACTGTAAGGTCGATGAAGGCTGTCAATTTTGGGGCAGCGGCTTCACCGTTGTTGGTAGCAAGCTCAGGCAAGTTGGGGCATGGGAGGGAGTAAGATCTGGGCTGGGCTGGTGTGGGCTCGAGCTGGGGAGGGACAGGGGTGGGGCGGCGGCAGGTGAGACAGGGCTGGGTCGGTCACTTGACGGGCGGTGATGACGTTATCGGAAGGGTTGTGGTGGTGGTGGAGTCACTGACAGTTACGGTGATGGTTGGCGGAGACGCTAGAGCGGGGTAGGCTGGGACGGGGCTGATTTGTTGTGAAGAGCATGGGAAGAATGGGGAGAAGACGTGTCACTGTGATCGGAGCCGGCGTGTCACTATGACGGTGTCACTGTGGCGGTGTCACCGATGACGGTGTTACTGCGGTGGTGTCACCGGTGGCGGTGTCACTGCTACCGGTCGGGGGGCTGAAAACACCGTAGAATGGAGTCACTATAATGTTGTCACTTTAAAATTGTCACTGTAGTAGTGTCACTATAGTAGTGTCACCGGTGGCGGTGACTACAGTGACACAGGCGGTGGTTGTAGTGACACGGGCGGTGGCTATAGTGACACGGGCGGTGGTTGTAGTGACATGGGTGACGACTGTAGTTACAAAAAAACGAACACGTAGTGACATAAAATTTTTGTAGTTACATCATGTTTTCTAATTGCACATATATGACCTTCTTGATCACTTTTTTGCCCCTTTTTAAAAGTGATCACTTTGTGGGTAATTGGTTCAAAATTAGTAATTTCCAAGTAAAAACCCCAATATATTTTTAAAATATTTTTTTCTTAAATCAGCAGAATCAGCCAAAACAGCCACTCCAGCCAGAATATCATAAATTTCAGCATAATCAGCCAAAACAGCCGATTTTGGTGCTACCAAACGGGCTCTAAATCATAACAACCTTTGAAAAGGGACATGGAACAAGATTGTTATTTAATTTCTAACGTGTGTTTTCTCGAACACAAAAAATCTTTGAAAGCCCAATTAAAAAAAAAAGAAATAATGCCAAAAATAATACTAGGGAGTTTTGCTTTTACAAAAATAAGACCATTTTTACGGAGGACAAAAAAGAGACCAAAGGACCGACCAACTCCGTTCTCATTTTCACAAATCTGCAGCGTCTCCAAACCAGTCCATCCCTTCTCAATTTCACAGATCTGCAGCTCTTCGATTGGGAGCGAGGAAGACAAGCTACGAAGAGGCAGAGAGCACAGTCGGAGAGCGACAGCTTAGAGCGGCGGAGAGCGGCGACCGAGATGACGAGCAGCGACGGAGATGACAAGCGGCGGCTCTGTTCAGCCATGGCACCGCCTTTCTTGTCTAACCTTTCCGCCCTAGGTTCGAAGCCTATCTCTTCCTCTTCTGTTTTTTTCGAGGGCTGTCGGCTATGATTTCAGATCGAATTGAAGCGGCGAGCAGCTAGATTTGGGCGACTATTGTTGCAAGGTGGTGGTGCGGTGGTTGGGGAAGGTGGGCTGAAGAGGTGATTGGCTGCCGGAACGGGGCTGAGGAGGACGCAGGTGCAGGGAGGCGGCAATCAATGGGATGTGTGGTGGCTATTCACTGTCGGGGTGGGGGCTGGTGCGGGCGAAGGGGCTGGTGCAGGGGAGGGGCTGGTGCGGGGGCAGGGAAGGGGGTTGTGGAGGGGGGCTGGTGCAGGGGAGGGGAATGGGATAGGGGAGTGGTGGTCAGGGCAGCGGCAGCAATGGTGGTCTGGGGCGGCGGTGGTCGGGGGGCAGCGGTGGCCGCATTGGTCAAAGGTTAAATTGGTCATGGTCACTAATTGGATTGGTCATTGGTTGAGTTGGTCATGGTCGGGTTGGTTGTGGTCGGATTGGTCACGGTCAAATTGGTCATGATCGGATTGGTCACTTGTCACTTGTCGAGTTCGGTTATTGGTGAGATTTGGTCACTGGTCGGGTTTGGTCAATGGTCGAGTTCGGTTATTGGTGAGATTTGGTCACTGGTCGAGTTTGGTCACTGGTCACTGGTCGGGTTTGGTCACTGATCACTGGACAGGTTGGTCACTGGTCACTAGTCGGGTTTGGTCATTCGTCGGGTTTGGTCACTGATTGGGTTTGGTCATTGGTCAGGTTCGGTCACTAATCAAATTTGTCACTAGTCACTGGCAGGATTGGTCATGATAGTTTAGTCTCATTTTTGGAATTATTTGAAAGTTGTGCTATTTTTGTCTTTGACATTTATTTTAGTACTCCGTATCATTTTTGCAAAAACCCCTTAAAAAAATATTTGAAACATAATGTATTTTAAAAATATTTGAAAGCCCAAGTCTGTTAGTTTAAAAAGTGGTCTGAAATACAAGGTAGGTATTTTGTGAAGAGTGCAAATTTGGATTAAAAAAAGGGATGACACCCCCTCCCTCAGATCCTCCACCACCGGCCGGACAGTTCGCTGGGAGAATGTAAGTTGGACTTTAATCACAAGCATGTAGATAGAGAGAGGTGTTCTGGCTCTGATACTTGCAGAGGCCTTATGCATTTTAGCATAGTAACCTTTCATCATCGCAGTTGTCGGAATTCGAACCCGAGACTTACCCTTTGTGACACTCCTATCTACTAGTTGAGCCATGCCCACCGGCAATTTGTTTTTTATTTATTTAAAAAATAGAGTTACTCTCTTTCTCCAAATCTTAATTCCGAGGTTTAATTGCTCCCTTTGTCCCGAAAAGGTCCATCAAATTGACTTTTCTTGGTCAATGACAAGGTTTTTTTTACAGTAATATTACTAAAATAAATCATATTAACATAAATATCATTATTCATTACTACAATGTGGTGTTGTGGTAACTTAAGCTCAAAACTTGAACATAAATTACTATAATTTCATTACTACTCTAGTCACTAGTCATATTTTTATAAATCATCTTTATTTTGGTCATATTGATGTATTTATTTCCAATGACAATCAACTTTGACTAATGATATTTTTTAATATGAAATTATTTAGAATATGAAGATTATATCAAAATTTGTGTTATTCAAAAAAGTTTCATAAAAATATAAAATTTATAAATTATATACAAATATAATATTGAAAATCATAGTCCAAAGTTTGTCATTATTGATTAAGATAAATCAATATGACGAACCTTTTCAGACGGAAATGTAAAATGACAAAACACACATTGTTGAGGTTTAGTCTCGCAGATCCGAAAGCCCAACACCAACTTTGGATATTAAGGATGATGGGTTTGGTATAAAAAGTGTATAGAATATAAAAGGTGAATGTGATGCACTCATAAAACCCACTTGTAATAAAGTAATAACGCTGATTACACGAAAGAGGCTGAACGGCACCACGAACTAGAGAGATAATCTAAGGTTTTGAGTATCAAAATGCTAAC